GAGCGCATCCTGATCTGGCTGCTCCACCGAGGTACCCCCAGATCCAGCTCCGCCAAGCATACACTGGGAGCTCCATTAACGCTTCCTTCAATAAGGCATCTCTGGCTGATACAGGTTTCCCCAATTTAGGTCAGGCTGGTTTTCAGATCATACAATTTCTGGAGGTTGATTGAGGTCGTGGCATAATTTCTATAAACTCATTCGAGCAGGCCCGTGTGCATCCTTTCGTGGAGCAAAGGAAACAGGTGCTATAGGACCCGTAGTCCATTTACTTAGGCCTTTCTCCTTGACAGCTGCTTCACCAAAGCCAACGCTGGCAAGAGACCCATTTTACATAGGGGCAAACGGAGGCCCAGAGAGGGTTCAGTTTTCATGCCAGAGGTGCTCCAGGCTGGGCACGATTTCCTCTCTGTAGTGCAGGGCCTGCAATGGATTTTCTTTTTAAAAGTGCAAGCCAGACGCCAGTTGACTCTGGGTGTGGGCTCGGTGTTAAGCAACAGCAGTTCTCCATAGGATGAAACTGGACTTCAGTGTGCGGAAAAGTGCTTAGTGGCTCTTGGGTCAAGTGCCACCCGCTGTAGATGTCTCGCCCGAAGGGTGTTGAGCCTCCGCGGGGCTCACGGCTTCCAGGTGACCCCTGGGGCACCGGAGTCCTCCCCCTTCCCCAGAGGACCAGGCGCCAAGGGACTGAGGGGCCGCGGAGCCCGGCGGGCCACCCGGGGTGCAAGGGCGGGAGGCGAGTTTGAACGCAAACTGAGTGAAAAATAGTCGGCCCGGGCGGGGCCGCAGCGCGGAGATCGGAACGCGGCGGGCAGGGTCCGCAGACCGCTGACGAACACGGTGAAAAGGAGATTCACCCCTAAAAAGTCTCCACCGCGGGAGGAAGACGGGACCCTAGGCACGGACGGGGTTCGAACCCGTGATCTTCGGTTTACGAGACCGACGCCTTACCACTTGGCCACCGCGCCTGCGTTAGAATGGCGGCTCGGCGAGCTCTATCCTGTCTGCACTCC